CCCCCCCCCCGGCAGCCGCAGCGGGGGCAGGATCCCGTGGGCACGGCGGGTTTGCCCACCCTTGGGCCGCGCAGCGCCCCCTCTGCCCTCGCTGCCTCCGCTTCCAGCCGGGCATGCTGCATACCTAAAAGCAGGAGCTGATTCTTGCCCCCTTGGCCTTGATTGCACTTGTTGCAAACATTGGAAACTTCTTTGCATTTAAATAACGGACTTACTCAGGCTTTGACACCCCACTGGGATTCTGCTTCATCAGCACAGCCCTGCTCTAAACTGCTTCTTACGGCTATGCATAATTTAGCTTTTAATGAGAAATATCCCATAGATCTATGCTTCGAAGCAGCCCCTCTGCGTCGCAGTCCCATCCAGACGGCGCACCTATTCTGCGCAGCTCCAACTAGCTGAGCCTTCTTAACACAGTAATTAGCCTCGCTGCCTCGCATGATAAAGATGAAGCAAGAGAATCAGAAAAAAGGGATGCTGCTAGAAGCTGTGCCTTCTAAGCAAGCCTCTGTGGTCACTTCAAAATCCAGCAATGCTTTCTAAGCACTGTATATGGCTTACTGATGTTTCTATACTGTTGCTAATACAGAGGAGCTTGCAAAAAACGGCATCGTAGCTTTTATAGAAGATAGGGCCATTACTAGAGTTTTTCAGGCATCAAAGCAAATCATTTTTACTTTCTGCTCTCCCATGTCACTTTATTGTTACTTCCCAGAGGGACTTAACGCAGAATATGTGAAAGGAGAAAACATGGAAGCGGTTGTGAGCGAAGAACCTCAAGGTGAGAAGTACCATTTTATAACCCTTAGGCCTCTGGCCACCAAAGCAGCTTTACTGAAGGACTTTCTTAAATTCACTCACGCTTTACTGAGGTGCAGTGTCTCTTTGATGGAGACACCACTTAGGTTTTGCTGCAGCTTTTTGTGAAACTTCCACTACAATGTTCCCTCCCCTTTATTGTACACAGAGAAAAGCTCTACATTAAGACACCAAGGATCTAATTCTGCAAACAGTGGCAGTTAGTATTTAGCTGTTATGTTTTCGGCCATCAGAAGCGTGTTATACAGGAAAAACATCCTTCTTTCAGTGCCAGATAGTCAAGGCTGATGTAAAGGCTTTTCTAAAGCCACATATAACCTCCCAGCTTTAGGCAACCACTACTTGCAGTTTAGCTCCATTTTATGTTATTGTATTCACGATCCTTTTTTTCCTCCCCTAGTTAAATATTCAGTGCAGGAAACACAGCCAGCAGAACCACCCAAACAAGACAGCACGAAGCTCTAAAGCACGACCTGGGGCTGGAAGAGAACCAGTCAGCAGCAGACATGGAGATCTTACATGCTTGTAATTTAGCTTTTTATTTAATTTGAATCCAAAGCTATTTAATGTGTACTTAGGCTTGAACTGGCTTCTTACTGCTATAGGCTTTAGGGTTAGAATGGTAATATGTGTTTTTTTGTAAAGACTTCTATGTTTACATTTACGTAATATTATAGGCTTGATTTCAAGTTGTATGCAAAACAACCGAAGGTGCTTCAGTAGCGTTCAACTATCAGTTAAGGGACAAGGTCTTTTCCAAGGAGCAGAAGAGCTTACAGGTGTGAGGACAGTGAAGTGCCTGTAAATAGCAATCCAAAGCAAACCACGCAAAACCCTTTGTAAATCACTTCCAGCTGACTTTAACCACCTGCTACAGGCACATAACTTCCAATGGCAGTGATGAAAACTGCACATTTACTGAGGGTAGATTGAGGTCCTTAGAGTAGCTACACCTGAAAATAAAGTGCCTATGGGTAGGTCCTCAGGTAGGGCCTCATGCTGAGACAGGTGACACCCTGCTCTTTAGTCGGGGAGTCGAGGATGCTCACAACCACACAGCACTAGGCTTCTAACCAAATAAAAAGGCCTGACTTTCATCCCAAATCATGAACACAGGTAGTAGCAGTGTACAAAGTGTTCATTCTTGAAAAATATTTGAATGCATGGCTGTGCTAGAGGTCAGAAGGGAGTCAAAGTTACCAAGTGATACAGCTTGTCTGTCATCAGTGAGATTTATATATTGTCAATGAAATGAAATTAAAACTGTTCCAAGGACAGATTCAGATCTCATTCACACCAGAACAAATTACAGATTTAACCCAAAAGAAAATAAAGAACATCAGTTGAGACCTTTAACACTCACTGCCACAACAGAAGTCAAGCTTAGCAAGATACATTATTCCCCCCACCTCCTTCTCCAAGCATTCACACAATTATTGAGAACGTTCATTGTCACCTTAGGCAGAAAAGGGATATAAAGCTTTGTCCTTTGGGACACCAATGAACCTTTAGAAAAGGCAGAACTTCCTTAGAGGATGAATTTTCCATCTCTGTCTTCTGCGGGGTTCTTCCAGCAGCCTGGGAAGCATGTGTCTGTGAGCGTTGTCAGCAGGACACTGCCCTGTCGCCAGGAGAGCCCCCCGCTCCCGTGGGGGTGTTCCTATGCTCTTTTTGAACATAACGGTACCAATAGAATGACCTGACCCTTGCTGAAAAAATTGTGTTTATACTTTTAATCTCTCCCCATCTCTTTTTTATTGATGCTAGAAGGTGGACACTGCCACTTACCAATACATTTCCCCAAATCAGCAAATCCTTAAAAAAATGCTTTATAAAGGGAAATTCACTTACCTAGTGTAAAAGGTACTCTATGTTTATATATAAACCTGAAATGTGTGCATTTTGTAATGTTTTGCAAAAACCCATATTGTGTGAATGTGGATAAAAAAAAGTGTTTTCTGTTTGATGTACAAATTCACAGCTTTCATGTAGACATGGCTTACACAAGGCCTTGCCAATAGGTGAATAAGCCTAGGAGCATTTCTGACTAACAGCTCAATTTGAAAGGAAACTGTCTGTAAGTATTTTGCAATAGCTGCACAATTCTTTATGTTGTTTTTCACACTTGCATTTTTAAAGCCTTACTACTAGCTCTAACAGAACAACTACAGCATTTTATAAGGGTGACAAGTTCTAAGGCTGTATGGCGCCTCTCATACATTTGGAGCACTTGGTCTACAACAATACTGCTATTAATTACTGCTACTTTGTTTTATGAATGGATTTGGATTAGAAAACTAAACATTTAACTACTGGTTACTCTGAGACTGGAAGCAGGAGAAATAGACAGGGATACAGAATAGATGTTTGCTTACTCCTAGGGTAGGATTTTTATGGAGGAAGAGATGGGGCTTGTAGAACTCTGATCATCGTCTACAAGAGCTCAGATGCCAATGAAGCCAGGCAGCCAGGTCTGGGTAACTACATCTCCAAACTCTGTAGCCTGTTCATCTCTCTTAGCCAAACATGTTTGAGAGCTGTGGCATGGAAGCATTTTTAGAAAATAATTGTAGACAAAATGTTACAACATGGCACTGATAGCAGTCATATTCCCCGGGTAGATCGAGTGAACATAAATCCATTTATCTTTTTGCTGGTGAGAGAATGTTTTTTTGTAGATGAAGATCATCAGTGCTGTTGCATTTCTGTTACTGCACAGTGCACTCCCTGTTTGTCTAGTGGACAATGCAGTGGAGTGTTCAGGATTGCTCAAGTCTACAGCACTTACCCCTCCTTAGGGAAAGTGTTACACTATACATATGAGAAACATGCATGTAATTCACAATACTGCTGTTTTTCGAAAAAGAGAGAAAGAGGAAAAAAGTTTCACTGAGAAACACAGCAGTTTTTAGAACTCAGAAGTAGCCTGCATTGAAGTTGCTCCTTTCCCCAAGGCCTTTTCTATGGCTTTGGTGAATATTTATGCCTTAATGTAATTTCTAGGTGTAGCGTAAGAAAAAACGGAAACGCCTAGTGAAAGGGAGCACTTTTTCAAAGTTTACAGTAACAGAATTCAAGATCCCTTTCTCCAAGATTCCTAACAGGAAAATTTTGACAAATACTGCAGTAAAGAAATTAAACGCAGTCTTCTCTTCAAAACACCTGGGCAAAAACCTTGGGCTTCATGTGCTAAATGTCAGTTAAGGCTCAATTGCTTTTTTATTGCAGTTCGTCTCCTCTGTCTGAACCGTCTGCTCAGTCCCTGAAAAATGGGGAGTTTATACTTCACACCACCTGTATTTCAGCCATTATAGCAACTTGGAGGGTTTATTTGTATTTTCCTAGTGGCGAAACAAGTTCTGAAACAACCGATACAGCATTCACCTCTCTAATTACCTTCATTTAATTATTATTATCTTTAAATTAGGATACAGAATTTTAAAAAATCTTGCACTTATATCCTGTATACATGGTGTGAACTTTCTCATCCCTTATAAAGAAGGCAATAAAACACTGGAAAACTAGGGTTTTTTTCATTAGTCCTAAAGTGCAGATACAGCTGTCCTGAGAGTTTATGTACCACCTGTTCTGTGGCTCTTACTCATAACACACCTCACTTCTTCAGATTAACTAAAGCTATTTTTAATGAAAAAAATTCAGAAACAAGTTTTCTCTATCATATAGAAAACAGAGAATTGATAAGCACTTAACCAGCTGTTTTCCTGTTATTAGATGAATTACCCACATTTTCCTTTAGCAATACTGTAGTAGTTTCTTCATTTTAGAAGACTGTGACATTAGAGTCTTCATTTCAGAATATTGTGACATTAATTTCAGATTTTTTTGGAGCCCTACAAGTTCAGTCATTTTCATGCAACCCCATTAAGGAACCCTTACAATTGCTATATTGTCAGTGCGAACTACTCATTTTTGTCATAAAGATGGAGTTAGTCCGTGAGACCGTTTCAAAGTCTGAAAAATTAAAATGAGTAGACAGGCTTGGCCCTTAAAATTTGCTTCTATAAGAAATGAGCTTCAGGAACAAACGATGTTCAAAACCAAATGAAGCTCAGAAACAATGGTACTGCGAAGTTAAGAGAATCACGTCTTTACAGTGAAGTCTTAATTTAAAAGCAAGACATATTGTTTACTAATGCAGAAGTGACCTATGCCAAATAAAGGTTTCATATTATGCTGTGAAAAGATAGATTCGTTTTGCTAATGTGCATGTAAGCATCATGGGGGTAAAAATCAGAATTTGACTACAACGAATAAAACAGACTTGACTAGTAAGACATTTTTGGGTTCGTTTGTTTTGGCGGGCGCGGGGGTATTGCACGTTGGAAGTAAATTACGAAAGGGTGGAGCAGGTCCTCTTTATACATTAAAAACCTCTAAGATACACTAAAAACCATATTAAAAAAAACAAGCTGTGGACTTCGTGAGAAAAAAAAAAAAGCTAGCATTGTGGAAACTTTCATTTAATGGTAAAAGTGAAGTACAAACACAATCAAGTCGCTCGACAACTACAATCTATGTATTACACTATGTCCCCATCTACACTCAGTATGGCTAGTTTTTGGTCCATTTCACTGCCATAGGTTTTCTGCAGGTTTTCTTTGTATTTTCATGTCCAGTGGACGAACTTCCCACGCAATGCAAACTCAGGTTTTGTCCTTAGCTCCTGCCGAGCTTAGTCTCACTCTCAAAGTGTTTTATATTTCAAACTACCTAGTTCTGACTCATGTTTCTTGTAGAAATAAAATTATTTCTTCCCAACAACCTATGCTCTGGCAGTCAGGAGATCTCTGATATGCTATCCACTTACTTCAGATGGGATCTGTCAGCAAACGTACGTTCTTTTCTTTGCATTTTAACGTTAAGAAGAAAGTTTGCCTTACCTGGGGAATATGCCACTTTGCCCATTTTACTTTACCCTCTGCTGTGGGGCTCAATCCACATGAATGGGATATTTTAATCACTTATTTCCAGCTCTTTGAGAACCAGCCACTCTTGGAATTATTAACTACAGTATATGAATTATCACAGCTTTTCTTGAAATAAAGAAAAAAAAAATCAAACACTTCCTGTTTAAAGCTCTAACCCCTTGAGAGGAAGTCTGCCTAAGTAATTATATGGGAGAGAAGGGAAGGAACAAAAGCAGGCAGATAGAAAGACTATTTATCAGCTTTAAAAGCCTTCTTCCATTTCTATTAAACAAACAAACAAACAAAAATCAACTTTTATCAGCAAAGGAGGAAAAAAGCACCACTCAGCTCTGAAACATGACTAAATGGCAATGTGCCTGTTGCCAACAACTCCATCAACTGCCTCTGAAGCCAAAAAATGGCTTCATTAGTTACCGAGGCTTCACACCAGTCTCGGATCCTGGATGCAAGTTGTTCCCCCTCCCACATATCATTTACAATGAGAAAATCCTACAGGTCAAATTAGCTGCTTGCTGTCTGTGCACATTCCCTTTATCCTCATTACAGTCAAAACCAAAACCTAAAGTAAAAGATCCAGCTATTCAGTCAAAATTTAATAGTTCTGTTCAAGGTACATCAAACAGGGGACAGGGTTCTGCTCTCTCCTCAACCACTTCAATCCTGTCTTATTAAAAAATAAAAAATAATGACACAATTAATTGTTAAATCAGTAAGACAAAAATCTGAGTATCAGGAAGCAGACTGAGTACAAAGAAAGCATATTAGTCATCTCTTCTGGACAGAACTATGCATTAACTAGCAATATAATATCTTTGAAAATTACCATGCTAAGTATGTTAATAAAGTCCACTGTTCTTATAAATACTATAGTAAGACACACACCCCAGCCCACCCCCACTGTCCTTTCACATCAGAGAAGGGTCTCTGAGCTATGCTGGAACTTGTGGATACAAAGGCAGTCAGTTGAAATAAACAGTAGTTTTCTTTGCAACATGAATCCTCAGGTATTAGCTCTAGGAATCTTACGTTTCTGAAATCTCAGAGTGCCCAAGCTAATCCAGTCATCCCTTTCTAATAATTATGGAGGACATACGTTGTGATTATTAGCACTAATAAAGAGAAAAACTTCAAATGACTCTCTTCAGCACTGCATTTTAGAGATAATGTGCTTTACTTCAATACACAGTTAAAGTGTGGAAAGGAAATGAGAAGTGTGGAAGAGTTTCATTCAATATCACCTCAACATATTTTGGCAATGTAAAATTCACTGTAAAATTCATCTTTCATCTATTAAAAGCTTGAGGTTGATGAAAATTGCACCATTGCAAGCTTTCCTTAAGCTTTAATCTTGCAGGTGAATATCTATTATAAAATACAATTATTTAGTTATAATAAAAAAGATATATTGAAATTCTATGCACGGCACGGTAAACCTAGAAGACTGGATAGAGTGCTTCTGCCTTTCCACTTGACAGTTGTAAAAGTGCTCAGCAGCTCACCTTACTCCTTAACGATATACCAGTTACACGAGTGCAGAGAATCAGGAAAGCCACGGCTCTATCTCACATTAAGAACAAACGGGCAATAATAAATGACTACTTGCAGACAGTAAGAACCACATCAGCCTACAGAACCCATTGATACTTAAGAATGGGACTTAATTCCCACCAGCAGAACTTGGAGCCATACAAGAGCAAGTCAAAAAGCAAAGCTGCAGTATCTGAATGCCCTAAGAAAAAGAATCAGATTCTCATGAAACACAGAAGAAAACAAAGGGAAATTTTAAGCACGTACCATTTCTGAGCATTCCAGGGAGACAACTGAATAATATTTAAAAGGTTGGATCCTACTCAGAAGAGTAATGAAATCTCTCTGATATTAATACACTTCAGGGAGTTAAAAGAAAGTAGTGGATGTATGTTTTATATGAAAATATAGATTAAGTTATTCACTTTACAGAAAAAAATTCTGGCAGCAATTTACAAAACAAAAAGCCCTCAAGCTTTATTTCAAGGAAACCAATTAAGAACATGTTATTTAAAAACTTTGTCAAACAAAGTCATTACAAGTTAAGGTCTTTGAAAGAGTTTGGATAGGCAGGAACCATTTTCTGAACTTACAGCTTAAAAACATGGAAGTATGCATATGTTTAGCATCACATACACATGTACATAAAGGGACAGAGAACTGCATTTTATGTGTACACTTTAAAACAAAACACACTTAGCAAAATGTGCAGCTATACAGACTATACAATGTACACAGCTGGGTGACATTCCAACCCAAAATATTACCATTCGCTAGAAAACAAGTTTTACTTTGTACAAGACCTTGCAATGATTAAGTTTACTGCTCACTCAGGAGGCTGAAACAGAACAATAAGCTAAATAGTCAAAAGATTTTATTTAAACTTGTATAAAAGGCATTAAAAAAATCCTAAAATTCATGCTTTACCAAATATATTACATCATACAAGTAAGTGTGGTGTAGTTGACAAATCCAGTTTTAACTTCATCTACTTTTAATGGCTTACTTAGTCAAAAGGTAAACCTGACTTAACTGGAAAACATTTAATTTAAAATCAATTTCCAAGTGCATCAATTACCTAAAAAAAACCCCAAACAATTGGCGCTAGTCAAAAAAAAAGTACTGAGTGAAACAAAGAGCTCCCATTTAGAAGGACGTTCGGTGTTCTGCTTACGTGTAAGCACCACGTGACATTTCATCCCAGTCTCTCAACCAGGCATGGTACCCTAGATAGCATGAGAGGAATTTTCTGTCTGCCTGACAGATTGATTCCTTTTTAGGATGATTAAATTGTTAGTTGCTCAAAACAAAAGTTAATTTCACAATCGGTGCCTGAGCTAGTCAAAACACACGTGGGAACTGCCAGCAAGAAAATATATCACATTAACTGAAGCTCTTTTTGGCCTCATCATGATAATACCAGACACAGTAAGGCATGTAGATCATTGCAATTTTAAGTCACAGTTCTTGTGGGATGGGAAAAACATTCCACCCTCCTCTCCATATTGCCTGACACATTTTTTACACGGCTTTTGTTACACATCACACAGAGGTGTGCACTGGTGTGGCTGAATGGGAGGGAGAAGAACCTCTATCAGAGGAGGAGGAAATGGATCGGGTAGCAGCTTCCCGCTGCAAATCTTCAACCTTCTTCTGAAGTTCGGTCCTGATGGCAAGTAGTTCTTTCAGATTCTGATGAATAGGAACCTGTCGGAAGAAGAAAGAAAAGGCTACTTTAACCATAATAATGAGTTATGCTCCTAAGTAACACTTCCATTGTTTTCTTCAGAAACACAAGAAGTCCAACACCTATGAATTTCATTATATCAATATTCAGGAAGAACATTTCTTTAGCCATCTGAAATTTCAGCACACTTTCTAACAGCACAGTTGGTAGAAAACCTATTCAAAAGATTGTGTGCAAATTAACTTGATGGGATACCAAATTATTCCAATAAATGCACTGCTATCTCTTGCTATCAATACCGCTTTCAGTTGAATTTAAAACGTCCTCCCTAGGAATTTTCCCCCACGCCTGTTGGAATAGAATTTGCTATGTAAAAAGAGTAGAGTTTACAGACCTGGCATTCAGAGTTTTGGTCAGGACAATGAAAAGGATAACATCATCCAGTTTAATCTCTATGGATTTAGTCTGAGGAACGCCTGTCTAGGCAAATGGTAGAAATACAATTACAGAGCTTATGGTCAGATCTGGTAGTGCAATCCCTATTTGACTTCCTTCTTAACGCAGTAGCCTAGAGAACCACCAATGAACAGTGAGGAGATTTTGTTCACTCCAACAGCGTTACATCTGTATGGAGCATGTTGATACATTTCTCACCAGGCACCTTTCCAAGACTCTGACCTCTTCCAGCTTGGAGTCAGTGAGGAAAGTGTAGCAGCCAAGCGTATTGTGCTTGTGAGGACCACCCAGACACACGCTCCGAGTAGTCTTTCACAGAAGTGGATCCTACAGGTTTCTGCCTCTGCTTCAGTGAGTGGCTTGAAACATACCACTGCCTTTGGCCAAGGGACTTTACCGGAGTTCTATAGCACGTTTTTCACTCTTGCCTGGAGTGTTCAAATGTATCAGGCCAAAGGAAGACCCAACTCCTGTTGTTTCTTGCAGCTGGATCTGTTATCTCAGACAAGCTCGCCTTCCAAATGCCAGAGAATGGCCAAAAGAGTTTGACCGTCAATTGCTTTTAAGTTACTTTATTCTTCAAATTCTGAGTTGTTCACAGCTTTTGGAAAGAGCGAGATGAGCAAGGGATTTAACGGGCTGGCAACACAATCAAGGCAAAACAAAGAAATGGGAAACCTAAGGGTTGCTAGACACTAAGTCATTTATACTCGACACCTCTGGAATGCCAGGCTCGAGAGAACTACATCGTCGCTTCCTACCGCTCAAAAGTGATTACAGGGCTGGCCTGCACATCCAAGCTTGAAATTCTTTCATGGTGCTATATGGTGAAGATACCAAGAAACAGAAAGTGTTTCTTCTTGCCATCAATGCACGAATGAGTCACAATTTAACTTTCTGTGAATTCAGACTTTTTAAAGAAAGTTCATGAAAATCCATGTATCTGATTTTGATATTTTCAAAATCTAACACTTGTGTTTCTGAAATAGAAAAATCCCATTTTGTTTTTAAATTTACCTGAATCTTAACTTGAAAGAATAAAATAGCACTGGTTTATTTAGGTGAAGTGAAACATTTTTTGACCTTGCATTTTTTTCTAGTTTTGTGGTTTAGCCCATGAACAGAAACTTCAGTCCATTCACAAAGCTCTGCCTCCAGTACCCTGGGAATCAGCAATTCATCCAGCACGCCAACTATGGCACTTTTGAAAGCAAACTTTATGTCTTTAGAAGAACTATCACTGCACACCACTATGTTCTCAATGACCCTGGAGTCCTGCCTTTACCCTGGAATAAATCCTTTCTCTTCTTGCAATCTTATTCAGTATGCACCAGACAAGGTTTTTTTGTTGTTGTTGTTGTTTTTTTAAATAAGTGAGGCCAAGAGGCTAAAGACAACAGCCTCCTCCAATAATCAAACACAAACCACCTCCTACAGAAAAGCTAATCTCATTTTCCAGAGGGGGGTCTATAGAAAATACATACACCTAAGAACATATCACAACTGAGCTCAGTGACAAAGTTTCTCCAAGATGCTGTAAAACATACTATGGAGAAATCAAAGGTCAGTGAAGACCCAGATTTTCTTCGGGAATTAGCACTGTTCCCACCCCCTCATCCCCCCTTTCTGCAAGTAAAGATCCCCTGCTCCTACACTCCCACTGCAGAGTCGTTCTTTATGAAGACGTTTTCCTGGAACACTAAGGTCTATAACAGAATGATTTAGCCATTGGTATCATTAGTCACGCAAGCCCTGGGTCACAGGAGATTTGTACACCTGATTTCTGAACAGCTTAATCATCATTCAGCATAACAGGCCAATTTTTCTTAGACACCTTTCAACAATATATTATCCAGTGTGTTCCACTGCACGCTACTGAAACACTCGTGAAAAGCAGCACCATACAACTGGCTTTTGGGGAATCCACTACTGCACAAAAGCTGCTGCAGAACCGGCACGCCACGTACAGTGCTTAAAGAAGGAAGAGAGTGGATGCACTCCTGCATTCCCCCAGAACCGAATTCAGGAAATCACATGTTCAAAATTTTGACGCAAGTGCTGTTCTTCCAATGCTTCTGTGTCTCCAATAATAGAATCACCCTAAAATAAGTGAACTAAGTAACAATAATTACATTTACGAAGAGGGTCTATATTTGTGTCATAAAACATTAAGATTGAAAAATAAATAACATACTTATTTTATAAATTAAAATAAAAATCAATGGATGTTCTATACTGTCATCTTATGTTAAGAAACACATTTATTTCTGCAGCACCCTAATAAGGTGCAGAAGCCTTAAGACTCCACTGTCACAGACAGGGAACTGAAGCAAGCACCTCCTAATTTTGGATACCTTGGATCTCAAACTGTTTCAAGAGAGAGCTTAAGAATTCTGCACTTCAGCCTCCTGGATATCAAGCAGGACACCACTAAATAAGGAGCACACACAGAGTGACTGACCGCCTTATAATGGTGGAATCTTGTGGCAAAGGCAGGGAGAAAGTCCGTTCCTCTAGAGCAGCACTCTGCTCTCTTACCCGCGGGACAATCCTTTCTTTTCCTGCAATCTTGCCCCCTTCAGCCTACTGCTTCAAAATCTGGCATGAAATGAGGTTTAGATTCTACAGACAACAGCATTCTTCAGGACTCGATCTAGATCACCCCCAGAAAAGCCACCTCATAAAATGAGTAAGATGGGCTCTGCAAAAAACAATGCACTACTAGGATTTAGTAATACATTGCAACCATATCAGGAGACAAACGGATTTCTGCCATTTCCTAATTTTCAAGTGCTTAACTTGCAACTTCAATTAGGCTGTTACTACAGTCTGTGTGAAACTTAAAAGGAATTATCTCGCCAGATTACATTCCAAAGGTTGAACTGAAAGCAGAGACCTGCACCACTTGGAGTATTATTCACTCCTAGTTCCTGTTCCTAGTCACAGCTCTCTCAGACTCCGTATCAGATCCCGCTCTCCCATTCTAACTCCATTTACCCTTGTTGCTTAAGAATTCACTGAGGTTGTTCCAACCTCCAAATTGGATGAATTTCTTCCAGGATGTGTACAGGCACATTTCTGAAAGGCAATCTCTCTCACTAAGATTTCAAGTCTGCCCTAGAGACGGGATACTAAAGAAAAGCAACAAGCATCTCCCTCCCCAACAAAAAGAAATCGATAATACCACCATTTTGATATGGGAAAACATTTTTCTTAGTCTTATACCCATAAGCATCTCAGTCTATGGATAAAGTTTTACAAAAGCAATTCAGATGCACGCACTTGGTGACTCAACATAAATCCCTAAAGTATGGCAAAGTTGTAAGCAAGGGAAGACAGGCTTTTATATATAATGGAAGAAAATGGTCATCTATAGAAAGTCTGTGCTAGACGTAAACACTGCAAAACAGCTCTACATAAATATCACGATGCCATTTTATATAGTGGCGTAAACATGAACGATTTTCTAAGGTTAAGTTTTTCAAAGGAAAAGATTCTTTGTTGCTTGGCATTTAACATAGCAGCACGTGCACACATAGGGCATCGTGTGGATAAACAACGGTATAAAACAATGAAATTCCAAAAACAGATTTCACACACTAAACTTCAGATACATTCTTTACTGTCCTGAATTAACTTCATATTCAATCTAGAAAAATCTTTAGCACTTTTAGAATATTTTTGAACAGCTAAAAATATCTCTGTTTATTAGTAATGTAAGTATCATATACTTGCGGTATGAGACAAAGCTGATATAGACAGCTGAAATATATACAAATATTATGTCAGTTCTTCTAAAAAAAATGAAAAGCAGCATGCCACGAGGAGCTGCATTTTTCCCCATATATATCTTAAAATTCTTACACTGTAATTCCCCTTTTTTGAGAAAAGCAGCAACTTCAAACATGAAAGAATGAAAAGATAAATAATAGTGCTAGAAGAAAAAGGGGGAAAAAAACAGACTAAAGCCTCAATCTCAAGTCACATGTAATTTTTTGAAATGAAACAGTTAAGAGAGCCAATTAAAATGAGATTTATGGAGCTTCCCATTATCTTCTAGGAGAGCAGGAGTAAGAGGATGACGAAAATTAGAAACCCTTTCTTCACATCTGCATTTTCTGAAGACCTAGTGTTTCTCATACCATCCTGTGCACATGCCTACAGACAACTGTCTACAATTTCATCACTTCACACCCCTGTATTTCAGTGTGTGATTCCCCTCTCAAATAAAGCCTTCTTCAGAATGGGTCCAATAATCTTCACAATAATACCTGTAATGGCTTGCTGTGAACTAAATTCTCTTTACTTTGTCCCTGTTTAGGATAAAATGGACTGAAAGAATAACACATTTTTATAAGGAATACAAAGTCTAGAAAAGATCATTTATTAAAAGGTCTGGTAATCACCTTAACCCTACACAGCACAAATAGTATCTCCGTGGCAAACCGTTATTACAGTCTTGTTAGGAAATCATATAATTGATTTGACTGAGATGAATCTGATGGAGTCTGACAGCAGATGTACTGTTTTCTGCTCCGTCATCCTGCCTCTCAAATTAGGGAGC